GGTGGCCTTGAATTCCTGGTCTCAACAACCTTCCTACTAAGTAATGGGGATTATAGGCATGTACTTCCATCCTGGCCTCTTAAAATTATTTTTTATGAGTCTTCACCTTCATGTACGCCTATGTACCAAGTCCATGCATGGAACTGGAGTTACAAATGTTTATGAATCACCATGTGGGTGCAGGGAAACGAACCTGAGTCCCCTGCAAGGGCATCAAATGTCCTGAACTACTGAGCCATCTCTCCAGCCCCAGTACACCATCTTTTTAAATAAATAAATGTACTTATTTATTGGGGGGGGGGAGCCAGTTTTGGGGACTGGAGAGATGGCTCAGGGTTAGGGTTAAAAGCACCTGCTTCTCTTCCACCAGACCTGAGTTCAGTTCCCAGCATCCATACAAAGTGGCTCACAAACTGCCTGTGAATCCAGCTCCAAGGGATTCAATTCCTTCTTCTGCCTCTGTGGAAACTAGGCAACCATTCGTGTGGTGTACATTTTTGAAGAAAAAAATATAGAGTGGGTGTGGAATGCTTTACCCGTAAGTAGTGAGACAAAATCCCATTGGGAGTGTCTGACTTCTCAGTAGTTAGCAGCATGGCTGCGCAGAAACTCAGCTTGGCTCCAAGACCAGACACAATGTGCATGGGGGTAAGCTGCTAAACCAGCAGTCCATCATTCTATGAGAGGAAAGCTGAGCCACGCCCGGCCCGTGAGCCACACTCACCAGGGCAGCCACTTCTCCCTTTACTCTTGTAGTTGTGTTTCTAGCACTCTAACTGTATCCAGCCAACACCAGGTATGGACTAGAGTAGTCACTGATGGGAGTGTGTGTGGTACACAGTCTCCCTTCAAGAAAGCAGCTCCCACTGTCTACTTAAGTGCTGCCAAGCAGCCAGCCCTCTCCCACTACACTGCCTCAGCTGGAAAGCTCACCAGATCACACACCTTCCCTGAGCTGCAGCCATGACTGGTTTGGCACTGTTGTATAAAAGACCCACTTTCTTTGCCTCAACCCACAATATGACTATTCAGATCCTGGGCTGGGAATGTAGACAGGTGGTAGAGCATTTGCCAGGCACACACAAGACCCTGGGCAACTGTTCATCATTAGCCAGCTTCACAACCATACATACTTCTGATGTACCAAACCAGGATGTCACAAACGAGAGTGATTGTCATACTAAAGTCTTAGCATATTAATGAAATACATTTGAAAGTAAGTCTTGGACTACTATTTCCAGTTATAATCATTTACTTATCCCACACCGAATTTGTTCTTTCAGGATATCAGGTTGTCTTCCTCATAGCTCCAGGTGCATAAAAAGGGCTACCTCTAAGATTTTCAGAACCAGATGGTTTGTGCTCATATGCCAGCCTTGGAAGGCTAAAACAGGTGCAGTGAGTTCAAGGTCAGGCTGGGCCACAGACACCTAATCCCAATAATTACTTAATTTAGGCAAGAATTAATCTTTGCAGGGCCAGGTGATGATACATAGACTTGGCTGGTAAAGGCACTACTACCAAGTCCAACAACCTGAGTTCATTTTCTGGGACCCACATTCACAAATTGTTCTGAGTCCCACATATGTGTCACTGCCATGAGAGTGTACACATTCACACACACACACACACCTTCTAGGTTATCTCCTGCGATTCTTCAAGAAGCAAACAATAGGTAAGATTCCAGTACTTTCAGTGAACTTGAGGCTGGCTTTATGGCTTAATCTATATTTTCTTAGTGTAGACCATTTTATAGCTTTCCTTTAGCAAGCATCTCTTATGATATGGAAAGAAATTCATTAATTCCAGCAACTGTTAGAGGCACAGACAATAATATCTCTAAATTGGAGGTCAGCACGACAAATCCCAGGAGTAAGAGGGTTGCAAAGGAAAACCCTATCTGAAAACTGAAAACTAACGGGGGGGGGGGGAATGGGGAGAGACATGGCTCAGTAGCTAAGAGCACCAGCTGCTCTAGCAAGGACTCAGGTTGATGAACTGCTTGTTATGTGAGCAAGAGGACCTATGTAAAAGCATGATAGGACAGTGTGCCTGTATTCCTAGCACTAGGGAGACGAGGATTTCTGGGACTTGCTGTCCAGCCAGTCTATCCAAACTGTCATGGTCCAGATTCTGTGAGATATACTCATCTCAAAAACTAAGGTGACGAGGGATTGAAGAGGATATCTGGTGTCCACTTTTTTCACAACATAAGCACACTTGGGTATGTGAACCTGAATGCACACATGAGCATACAAAGCAATTGAACACATTCTGATACATGAGGCTCTAATAGTTTAATAGTAGGTACCTAGCTACTATTAATATACATGTATAAAAAACTGGTTCCCAAAAAGGAGCTGATAGGACCTGGAAGATGGCCCAACAGTTTAAGAGCACTTACTGCTTTTGCAGAGGACCTGGATTTGGCTCCCAGCACCTATACAGACCATGTGTAATGCCAGTTCTAGGGAATCTGATGCCTTCTCTGGCCTCCTTGAGTACCAAGCAGGCACAACATCCATACACATACAACTAAAAAAATAACCAATCTTTGGGCTGGAAAGATGGTTCAGAAGTTAAGAGTACTGACTGCTCTTCCAGTGGACTCAGGTTCAGTCTCAGTACCCAAGGGTAGCCCACAACTGTCTAACTGCAGTCCCAGGGGACCTGGTGCCCTCCTCTGTTCTCCACAGGTACCAGACACAAAACTGGTAGACAAATGCAGCAAAATACCCATGCACATAAAAATAAATTGTTAAAATAAAAACCAGTAAATAAAAGAGGGCAAGATAGCTCAGAAGATGCTGGGCAGTGGTGGTGCACACCTTTAATCCTAGCGCTCAGGAGGCTGAGGCAGGCAGATCTCCTTGAGTTTGAAGCCAGCCTGGTCTACAAGGTAAGTGAGTTCCAGGCAGCCAGAACTGTTATACAAAGAAACCCTATCTTGAAAAAAAAAAAAAAAAAAAAAAAGCTCAGTAGGCAAAGGTGCTCGCTACTATGACAACCTAAATTCAATCCAATCCCTAGAACTCACAAGGTAGAAAAGGGAACAGACTCCTACAAATTGCCTAACCTTCAGACTCATGTTTTTGTATGGACACCCCCGACACACATACACACAAGTAAGCACCAATGCCAGGCTAAGTTGTTTCCTAGGTTGAAAAGGCACACATAATCAATCACTGAACATGGGAGCACCACCATGGAGGCACCGCCTATAGTCCTGTCTTTAGAGGCTGATGGATCTCTGTGAGTCTGAGGTCAATTTAGTATACTTAGTCAGTTACAGCTCAGCTTGGCCTGGACTGAGACGATCTCAAGAAGAGCACAGAAAAAGTAAAAACAGCCTGTGTACGTACGTACACACACACACACACACACACACACACACACACACACACACACACACACACACACGATGCCAAGCATTCCGGCTCCCCAGTGCTTTCATGTGTTTGTCTTCTATTTTATGACAAAGATAGGTTCAGTATTTCCTACTTGTCGGGTAATAATCAAGGAGAAACCACAAGTGACATTGCATTAGGGAATTAGGGGAATCACCACTAACTAGTTTTGAGACCAGCCTGGGGTACCCAGATCATGTCTCAAAACTTCACTTGAGTTCTATTCCATAAATTCCCAGAAAAGCTTCCTTGGAATTTGGCACCCTGTAAAGACACACCATTTTTTGTACCTTCATAGGAAGCTAAGCCGAAAGGACTCCTGGTCCTTGGTGTCCTGGGCCACTGCTCAGGTCTTCAAATGTTTCTCAACCTGCCTGCACACCCCCATCTCTTCCTTACTGGTTTTTTCAGAGAACGCAAATGTTCCTCAGGAGTTTGCTCTGAGGTTACCAGGGCCTAGAGCTTTCTTCTGACTGTGATAACTGGTACCTGGTTATAGTTTTTGTATTTGATATTCCATCTGCTATTATGGGGGGGCACTTAAATGGATATGAGAGGACAACTCTGACCTCAGCTCCTCCTTACAGCTTTATGTAGATTCTGAGGATCAAACTCTTATCATTAGAGGCTGGAGGGGTGGCTCAGCAGTTAAGAGCACTGGCTACTCTTCTAGAGGATCTGGGTTTGAGTCTCAACACCAACATGGCAGCTCACAACAATCCGTAACTCCAGTTTCTGGGGATCCAATACCATCTTCTGGTCTCCATGGGTACCAGACAGATAGGCATGTGATATATATATATATATATATATATATATATATATATATATATATATATATATATGCAGGCAATTACCCATACACAAAACTGTTTTTGTTAATTCTCAAAACAGGGTTTCTCTGTGTAGCCCTGGTTGTCTTAAAATTCACTTTATAGACCAAACTGGGCTCAATCAGAGATCTACCTGCCAGGATTAAAGGTGTGAACCACCACCAGCTGGTCCATATACAAAAACTTTTTTAAAATCATGAAGTGCCCTTACCTGCTCAGCCATTTTGCCAGACCCCTCATAATTCTCTTTTGAGCCAAGCATGGTGGTCCATACCTTTAATTGCAGCAAGGACAGGCTGAAGCTAATGGATCCCTGTTGAGTTTGAAGCCAATTTAGTATACTTAATGAGTACAGCCCAGTGGTGGTGCACACGCCTTTAATCCCAGTACTTGGGAGGCAGAGGCAGGTGGATCTCTGTGAGTTCAAGGCCAACCTAATCTAAAGATCGAGTTCTAGGACAGCCAGGGCTACACAGAGAAACCCTATCCCGAAAATCAAAATAAGTGCACGCACGCATGAATGAATACAAATTCTTTGACCTATCAGACATGGGCTGTTCATTACAAATCAGCTTGTCCCTAGACTGCAACCATGGTGCTGTTCTCTCTCTCTCTCTCTGCCCCCCCTTCCCCCCACCCCCACTCTGCACTCTGCTGTTCTCTCTTAGTGACAAAGGAAAAGAGCCCGAGGAACTACCTGTGGGGGATAGAGAAGGAGGAATCATCTGCAAAGCAGGGAGTGGAGGACAGTCCACAGTCCTTCAGGTCAGCAAAAGGAAAAACTTGCCAAGCTTTATTCGGGTTGTAAAGGCTGCAGACAGCACATCTGAGTCTATGTCCACCCCTCTTTACAGCCCCCTGGGCAGACTCAGCTACTCTCCCTCCAGTCTCACTTCTTCTCTTCTTCTTTCTTGTCCTTCTTGCCTTCCTTGGTGGCCTGGGAGGCCAGAGAGCCCATTGCATTTCGAATGGCTTCATTGTTGGGATCCACACCTGGAAGGTTCTCTAGCACACTCTGAAGGAACTCCGGGTCTTGCATCACATCATAGTCATCCTCCTCCTAAAAAAGGGGCACCATGAGCCGGGGCACATGGGGCAGCAAGTGGGGTAGCAAGGAGTGTACAGTATAAGGGACAGAAACATGATGCTGCGCACTCCTGCCTACAGGGTGGGGAAGTCCCACCAAGGGAAGGAAAGGGACAAGTAAGCAAGACCCATGCCCATAAATGGCATGAGCTTTATTGACCACAGAAGCCTGAGAACTCTGCTAACTGAGCACAGAGGGTAAAACCAGACACCACCATATGCAGCTTTCCTACTGGGAAATACCCAACACTCCTTCTCCCAGACTTTTTTGGGAGGAATCCTATAGAACTATCCAGACCACTCCCACTAGAAAATTCCAGAACGATAGCACACTTCTCCAATTTACTGTTACCCTGGCAAGGTTTACAGAGAAGATAACACACATCTACGTGTTTCCTTCCTCAGAGGCTTCATTTATGAAATGCTAGGGAAGAATGGCCCCAGGCCTCAAAGGCTGAGGATCTAAATCCAAAGGGATCTCAATCCTGAATGAATCAGAGGGTCACTGCTGGTTCTCACCTTGACTGGCTCAGATGTGTCCATGGCTGAACTGGCATCAATGTCAGCTGACTCTGCTTGGCCAAACTCTGAGGAAAGGAGAACAGCAGTGTGCTCAGTGCCATCCATCTCTTCACCCACCCTCTACCCAGGCCCTGCAACACAGGCCCTGCTCACCTGCCCCCTGCAGTGACATCTGCATGGCATAGGCAATCTGCTCTTCCTCAGTCATGCTGCTTAGGTCAGGAAGCCCAGCACGGCCAAACTCCTGCTGGCTGATGGTCATCTTCAGTAAGGCATCGTCCGAGTCTGGGAAAGGACAGAAGGGCAGGAAAGACCTAGTGGACATTCCACAGGGCTGACCATGGCATTACTCAAGCTTGGCCCAGGCTTCCCCATCCAGCTCCACCCTCAGGCCCGGGACTTCAGAATCCACCTCTTTCACCTTCAGTCCCAGACGTAGCAATTCCAGCCTCGGCTGCAGAGGCTGCAGCCGCCCGCCGTGCCTCCTCCTCCTGCCGCTGCCGCTGCTCTTCCATAGAAACACGAAGAGCCTGGTAAACAGCAAGACAAGATCACTACTGGGCTGATGCTGTGGCTAGAGAACCAGGAGGGCACCTTCCGGTTTATCACAATGGGAAAGAAGCTATGACCCTCAGAAGGGATAAGGGTAAACGGAAGCAGCAGACAGGGCCCAGCATTTAACTAGGAAAAATGAACAAGCTAGAGTCCTACAGACACAACTACAGAGAAAGGGAGAGAGGGACTTCGAAAATGATGGTACAGAAGTGCTTAGCATTGTCCAGTCCCACAACTGGGTATGTGTAGAGAGGGTCAGTATTTGCTTACTAGGGCCAACTCAGGATCAGCACTGGGGTCTACTCCAAACTCGAAGTCACTGGCACCAAGACCCAGCATGGCACCGCCTTCACCGGCCAGAATAGGAGAACTGATGAGGGCATCAGCCAAGCTGGGTCCAGGAGGCACCGTCACCAGATGTGATCCGGTTCCATCCTTGCCATTCAGTGTGTTCACAAAGGATGTCAGCTTCTCTGTGTTCACCTCCTGCAGAGCAGAGAGCACAAGACAGCTCTTTCAGTCAGTGTTCCTCACAGCTGAAGCTGTCTCCAGAGTGCCAGGGGACTCTAGGAGAGGACTGCCCTGTTCATAGCCAAACGGACTGGACCCATGCCTACACTCCTGACTTACCTCCTCCCCAAAATTGATGATGTCAACATTCACTTTTTCTTTCTTGAGGCGTTTGGCTAGTTTCACCAGCTAGGAAGTAAGGGAGAAAAATCAAGAAACTGATTGTATATAGTAAGCACTGAACTAGCCTCACAAATACAGAAATTCAAGGGAAATCACACATCCACCTTTCCCCCAGATGATGAGCCCAACACCTCTGCCCAGTTCTAAGTGCTTCGGGACATTTCCAAATGTAGGCTCTGCCTGGAGGGCTGTCTGTGGACTCACATCCTTCTCGTTGTCCTCCACAGGGCTACCCACGAAGGCAATGATGCGCATCTTGTGATTCTTGCCCTGGCGGTGCTTCAGAGCCAGCTGGGAAAGGAAAAGCGTCAACCACAGGAAGCCCACGTCCCTCCTCCCTGTGTCACCCTGCTCCTTCTCTTCCTTACGCTGTAAGTCTACCATCACGCTCATAGGACATGCACTCCTCTCCTGCTGGTGAGCCTCAGGTAGATCAAAGTGTAAGACCAATTCTCAAGTCTAAGGCTTTTCCCTTCACATTCCTCACATTCATCCCGTCCCATCCTTCCTATACTGAGTAAGCTTCCTCTAGGTCAGTGGTTCTCAACCTGTGGGTCATGACATGGTTTGGGATCCAAATGACTCTTTCACAGGGATTGCCTAAGATCATTGGAGAATACACATTTATTCACATTACAGTTTGTAACAACAGCAAAATGAGAGTTATGAAGCAACAACAAAAATAATGTTATGATTGGGGGGGGGGGTCACTATAACACAAGAAATGTATTAAAGGGTCACAACGTTAGGAGGGTTGAGAACTACGGCTCTAGGCCAACTCTAACTCCAGATTACAGTTCTGAAGAAAAATGATCACTGATTCTCACGGCAGGGAGCCAGCAGGACTCACATGGGCCACTCGAATGCCGGTGCAGAAGGTGATCTTGCCCTTGGGTTGGACAGTATGGAGCTTGGAGAGGATGCGGCCAGTGTCAGGGGTGAGTGTGGTCAGCACTTCACAGTCACTAGGTGTGAGCAAAGCACAGGGGTTCGGGTCACACACGGTCTCCCAACCACTCCCATTCATCTTTTCTTTTTTTGGTGGGGGTGGGAGGGTGGCATTCAAGACAGGGTTTTTCTATGTAACCCTGGCTGTCCTAAAACTTGTTCTGTAGACCAGGCTGGCCTCTGCCTCCCAAGTACTGAGATTAAAGGTATGCACCACCACCGTCTGGCTATTCATGTTTTCTTTAGAGACCTTAAAATCAACTCCTCTCCCTCCCTTGGCTTTTTGAGACAGGGGTTTTGTGTAGCCTTAGCTGTCCTGGAACTCACAAAGATCTACCTGCCTCGGTAGGTAGTGCTGGGATTAAAGGCATGAGCCACCACCGGTTCAAATTTAATCACTTTTAAGATAGGGTCTCTTGAAGGGCAAGATGCTGCAAGCCTTTAATCTGCCCTAGGGAGGCAGAGGCAGCAGATCTGAGTCTGATGCCAGCCAAGGCTATACGAGACTGTCTAAAAAAAAGAGGAAGTTGAAGAGATAGCTCATTGGTTAAGGGCACTTACTGCTCTTATAGAGGCCCCAGCTTCATTTCCCAGCACCCACATGGTGGCTCACAATCAGTTATAACTCCAGTTCCAGGGATCTGAACCCCTTTTCTGACTTCTGTGGACACCATGCATGCCCATGGTGCATATACACAAACAGAGCAGGAAAAATATTCATACACATGAAATACAAAATAAATAAATTTTAAAAAAGAAAGGAGATCCAAAAGGTTAGGGCTAGAGCTAAGTGGCAGAGCACTTCTGTAGCACACAGAAGGCCCTGGGGTCACCCTCAGCATAAAAATGACAAGAAAAAGTTAAAAGCTGAGCATGGTGGTGCAGGCCTGCAGTCCCAGAACCTGGGAGGCAGGAGCAGGAGAGTCTACCCAAGTCCAGGGGAGCCTAAGGTACACAGCAAGTCTGCAGTCAGCCAGGGCAATGTGTAAAACCCTGTGTGGAAAAGAAAAGTCAACAAATCCTCCCCACCCAACAAGCTGCACTGCCACCTGAAGGAGGCAGAAAAGCAGCCTGTGCTATCCACAAGGGCAGCCACCTACAAACCCACCTTCACAGCCCCACTCCTGGGTCCCACGTACTTGGCCAGTGTGATGAGGCCCACGTTATTCTCAGGGTTGCTTCGGGTCTTTGAGTGACATACGATATTGACGGCATCCTGCTGGGCCTGCAGCCGGGTGGGAAGGAAGTCTCCATTCCGCATGTACTCACTGTTGTCCACACTGCCGGATGAGGGGGAAAGAGATGAGGGGGGGAAGGGGAACCAACACTAGAGGGTTCCCTGAAACAGAGTTAAGGACACCTCCTGCCAGATACGCCGTGGCATAGCAGTGAGTGAGTGGCTTTCAGGGTTAAACACAGAATCACTTACAACTCCTATCTTGACAGAGTATATAAGTCAGGTGTGGCAGCACACATCTGTAACCCTAGAACAATGAAGATGGAGCGAGGAGGATCAAGAGTTCATGGCCAGACTCAACTACATTGTAAGTTTGAGCCAGCCAAACCAAACAAAACCAAACCAAACAAAAACCCAGAATCAAGATTATATGAAATATAGACTCCATCTTCTCTGCCTTTCTGTCTTGAGGTGGGGCAGAGGGGATCAGTCGCACAATCCACCACTGAGCCACATCCCTGGCCCAGGAGCAACTCGTGATGACCCTCAAGGTCTAGGAGAGTTCTTCCAGCCAGTGATACAGCCTGTGCTAAGAGAAGGGAGCAGTGCCAGGAACTAGACATGTTACTCGAAGCAACACTCTGCTCAGTGATGACTTTTCCACCTTATAAAGCTTTATCTGATAATAGGGAGTTACTGAAAAACAAGCAGAAATAGGAGTATCAGGTAGTGTTGAGACACGGGTTCATATTCTCATTCTGCCACTCACTTTTAAAACTGTATTTATGTGTATAGCTGTTCTGTCTGCATCTGTGTACTCAAACCATGTGCACGCTTAGTGCCTAGGGAGGCCTGACGTGGGTGTTGGATCCCCTGGAACTGGAGTTAGACTGTTTGAAAAGCATGTCAATGCTGGGAATTGAAACTGTGTCCCTTCTAAGAGTGGTCAGTGCTCTTTTGACTACTGAATATTACCCCAGACCCTGGTCGATTTTTTTTTTTTTTTCCCTATAAGAAAGTTGCTTATTTCTCCAAGGTTCAAGTACTTCACTATTTTTTGTAGGGCAGGACGAATATTCAGACATGTGCTTGCCACAACATGCATGTGCAAGTCACAGGACAACTTTTGGGAACTGGGTCTATCCTTCAGGCGGTGGAACAATGGAGGCTTTAAACACAATTCATATGAACAGCTAAGAAGTGCAAGGTCTGTGGGCAAGAGTAGTGAATGGCTAAGGATGTGGGGAATGGCCGGACTGTGAAAGGCTTGAGAGGGAGAGAAAACTGACAGTGAGCAAAGCAGTTGTGCTGCCCTCACAGCCACTGGGGAAGGAGAGTGGCTACTGCTGGAAAGGATACCTTATCACCTATGCATGCATCCCTGAAAAAGCCACACTGCCCATGTGAATCCCAGTATTCCAGCAGCAGGACTACAGGGAATTCCAGGTACGGCTACAGAGCAAGCTCCTGTCTCAAACAAAAGAAAACACTGCACGACTGCCTGGCTTTCCCTGTCTCCAGTAGGTATGAATAGGGTAATGTTATTTGTGTTTCGTAGAACTGCTTCCCCTCAGCAGCATTCCCTTCTCACCCTCACCTCCAAAATCATTACAAAGTTGGGCTTAAAGAATTACCTGACCTTCCCATGACATAATTTTAAACTGAATAAAGCAGAGATGCAGTTCTGTGCTAGTGTGCTTGTCTAGCATGGACAAGGCCCTGGCTTTAATCCCTGGTACTGCAAAATCAATCAATCCATCTGTCAGATACAGGACTGGCAACAAAGCATGTCTGCAGGCTCAGCTACTTGGGAAGTCAAGGAAAGGATTTCCTAAATCCAGGATTTGGGAGCCAGCCAGGGCAACATACTGAGATCCCATCCCTGTTCCCCACCCCAACTCTCTCCCAACCTCAGTCTCCCTTAGAAGCAGGGTGAGCTTTCTATGCTGAAGATGACACTGAACTGACCTTCCTGACTCTGCCCTCTAAATTCTGGGATTACAGGTATGTGCCAGCACATCAGGCTTGAGATAACACAACAGCAAAAACAACAGAGCAGCTGGGCAGTGGTGGTGCACGCCTTCAACCCAGGAGGCAGAAGCAGGCAGATCGAATTTGAGGCCAGCCTGGTCAACAAAGCAAGTTCCAGGACAGGTTCCAAAGCTACAGAGAGACCCTTGTCTGAAAAAAACAAAAGAAAACAACAAAAACAGAAAGGAAGGGAGAGAGGGAGGGAGCAAGGAAGGAAAGAAGAAAGGAGAGTCTGACAAGACAAACATCAAAACACATTCATTTTAAGTAGCCCCTATAGAGAACTGATGCCCAGAAAGGAGGGAGACCCCGTGGAAAACAGGAGGGCTCTCTCTCATCAATCTGTGCCTGGGCAATTACACTGACACTAATGTGTACAGTCCTAATCTTTCCTTTTACATAGCAATCTAAACTGGAGGGCGGGGGTGGAAACAGAACTTCATTATGTACTCCAAGCTGGCCTCAAACTCATGATCCTTCTGTCTCAACCTCTCCTGTGCCATGACAGGTGTGTACCACAACACCTGGTCAGATTACATACATACATACATATACTTTTTGTTTTTGTTTGTTTTGTTTTTCGAGATAGGGGTTCTCTGTGGTTTTGAAGGCTGTCCTGGAACTAGCTCTTGTAGACCAGGCTGGTCTCAAACTCACAGAGATCGGCCTGCCTCAGCTTCCCTAGTGCTGGGACTAAAGGTGTGCGCCACCACCGCCCGGCAAGATCATTATTTTTAATTCAATGACAGTTGGTATGAAGGTCTGCCTCCATCACTCTCAAAATCTTCTCCACAAGGCACAGAACAGAATGCAAGCTCTTCAGCTGTGATTTCTTCCTACAGCCATCCTTTCCACCTTAAACCAACATCCATGTTAAGGCCATTCTGCTCTACCCCCAACAGTAGCCTTCCTCAGCATCTACACTCTTCACAGCTCTTAGATTCTGAGGACTTCCCAAATGCCATGGCACTACAGAGCACACCACATATATCCTACCTACTTATTCCAAGAGACACATGGAAGTTACTACAATTCTCCCAGAATGTGCAAAAGATGAAGTGCCAGAAAAGACTTTGGATTCCAAACCATCTTCTTTCTATTCTAAGGTGCTCTCTCCTAGAAGTGAACAAACTTAGAAAACAAAAATATATGACTTGAGACTAACTTTTAATTTCAGACGATTAACAAGTAACTTTTAAGACTTATTTTTATTGTTTTTAATTTTGTGTGTGTACCTACAGAGGTCAAAGGCACTGGATCTTCTGGGCCTGCCAAGAAGGCATCTGTGAACAGTACAATGTGGGTGATGGGGACTTAACTCCTGCCCTCTGAGGGACAGCAAGTGCTCTGAACCACTGAGCCACTCATCACCCCAAGTAACTTTTAAGAGCAACATTTGGGTTGTAATTAAGACCACTTTCTTTACTAAAAGCTACTCATTATTTGCCGGAAATTCAACTTGAGCTGGGCACTCTGGTTGTGCTATTTTGAGGTAGTCTTGATAGGTAGTCCTGACTCATGGAATCCCCTGCCTCACCTCCCAAGTGCTGGAAATACAAGCTTGAACTATCAAGTCTGGCAACATCTTGTATTTTAGTCAGCAGTGCTAGCCAATCTCCAATGAGAAACATGGGCTTGGTGACTCAGGCTTATAATCCTACACTCTCGTGAGGTGTAAAGAGAACATTCCAAGTTCAAGACCAGCCTATATATCTTCTGGAATAAAACTTCAAAGTCAGCCTGAGCTACAGTGTCAAAGTCCATCCAAAAAAATAACAATGATGAACTCAGCAGCGGTGGCGCACACCTTTAATTCCAGCACTCCAGAGGCAGAGGCAGGAGGATCTCTGCGAGTTAGAGACAAGCCTGGTCTACAAGAGCTAGTTCCAGAACAGCCACAGAAAAACCCTATCTTGAAAAACCAAAACCAAAACAAAATTGATGAGCAATAATAAATGTAATAAAGAAGGGGTGTGGCTGTAGCTCATTGGTAGAAAGAGCACTTTCCCAGTATTCACAAGGCTCTGGATCCAATTCCTAGTATCTATCTAAAATCCCTCTTTTAGCCATGAGAAAATATATGTCCTCAGCATAATTATTTTGTTGTTGTTGTTTTTCCAAACAAGGATTTTCTCTATTGTCCTGGAACTAGCTCGGTAGACCAGGCTGGCCTCGAAATCAGAGATCCGCCTGTCTCTGCCTCCCGAGTTCTGGGATTAAAGGCGTGTGCCACCAACGCCTGGCTCTCAGTATGATTTTTTAAATTTCTTTTTCTTTTTTTTTTTCCTTGTTCTCAGCTTCTAACCAAACTCATAACAAGTACTCATCCCAAATATAAAACTGATAAAAGAGTTAATTCATCGGAGAAGAGCATTGTACAATCGCTTTAAATTTGACTCCTGCGTATCACGACCACTTAATTGCTATGTGACTTGAGCAAATCACCCAAAGGCCTTCCGACTCATTATGAAATGAAGGACTATTTTCCCTGAACGTTGTGATGAGACTTGCAAGAGAAAAAGTACAGGGAAAGGCAATGAAGTTAGAGACAAGAGGCTGGAACAGTTGGCCTCTCCTCCTAATGACCTCTGCTCCTAATTCCTTTACGGGAGACACGGAGAGCAGGGTCTGAGAACCAGGCTAAAAGCAGGCTGGGCTGGAGAACCGGGGTTCCGGGGCCTGCGTTCCTGGGCCGGGATGACTCAGGGAGTCGCCGGCCTGTCTCCCGTGGGCCCCAAGGCCACATCTCGCCCGGTGGCCTCATCCCCACCCCAGGCCCTCGGGCCTCGGCGCCATGAGCAACCGCGACCCGGACGCGCCCCCCGGCCAGGTCCGAAGCTCCTCACCAAACCATAGTGCTCTCCAACACCATCTTGCCACCTTCCCTCTGCCGACCGGCTCCGAGACTGTCTAACAACAGCGCCTCCGATTGGCTCGGCGCTCGGCGCCAACCATAAAACTCGGCCTCCACGCCGCCCCGCCTCCACGGCCCCGCGGTGCGTTATGGGACTTGTAGGCGCTACAGAAAAGGAAAGGCCAGTAATTCTGTGGCACCTACTTGCTACCTTCACT